ACTGCATGCTAGGATTTTGGATTCAAATTTGCATATGAGGATCGGTTACATATTTTAAGATGTATTTATGAACTTTGCACTTTTAGGATACATATTTTCCATGGCATACGAACTATAAAATTCTATCTAATCTACGTTATTCCGTACCAAGAGGAAATAAGATTTTGAAGTTCGAGATGGTGATTTTAGAAAAGATGTTATGAAGGATGAAAAAGTTTTGAGTGAAAACAGTTAGCACAAAACATAGGTTGTAAAATATTTTGAAATTTTATGTTATATTTGCTAAGTAACACCAATGCTACAAACTTTTGAGAGAGAGGGAGAGAGAGAGAGAAAAAATTCTTTATTTATAACAAATTATTTGCAGCAAGACATATAAAAATAAAAATATCATATGGGTCACAATGACCTGTGCGTGATAGAGTCCTTAACTGGCTGCTTAATTGAAATAAAAGTTCCTCACACTTCACTTAATACACTTAAAAAAATCTAACAATAACTTGGTAAAATAAGCATACAAATTAATTTACTATACAATTGTAATTGCAATAGCCTAACAACCATATACATATTGCAACTCAATAGCTTGGGTAACTAAAGACTTGCATTACATCTAATGAACACATTAACTTTTTTCAATTCCCAATTTCACTGAGGCGTGGATTTCGTCAAGTAAGAGTGTTGTAGAAGGTACAATAGTTAGTCCAGTTACCAGTTGGTTAGGTCTAAACGAGATATTCTATGGCCTTCTCATGTTTTCTTTTCATATAGTCTTTTGGGTCCTGTAGTATTGTTTTCTTGAAAACTGTTATGGATAAAAAAAACGCCTCTTATGTTCTACATCCATCCTTTCAATCGTCTAGTTTAGTCCACAAGTTGACCAAATGTTGAATTGGAACAGTACAGTACTGACTGCAGATCAGAATTATTCTTTCAGTTGACCCATTAGTTATTTCGAAGTTTTCTGAGCAAACTATATTTTTGAACCAACATGAGAAGGAAAAGTCACACTGAGTCAAGTAGAAGTGGAAAGTCTACAGGACCTTCTCTTCCAAAACACTTATCTACCGAGTGTTTACAAATTGCTTACTCCAAAGATGATGTTATTTTTTCATGAGATGGAGCTTTATTATCCTAAATACCCAGTGCACTAAAATCACCGACTTAACTTTACTCAAAACATCGCACTCATGGATTTATTGGTCAGAAAACGTATTTTGCAAGGAAAACCTATGGTATATTTTAATGGAAACAAATTCTCACAGATGTTTCAACGAATAAACCTAACTGTTTTAGTTACGGAATAAACATGCAGCGATATAAAATATTGTATTTTTTCATAAAAGCTTTACATACCGTACAGTACGATTTAACCATTTCTGTACTTTTAGATTATGCAATCACCTTTAATAAATATAAAAATAAATTAGACCAATAGCAACTTTCAAATCTGATTCCTGAGCCACCTCTTATTCTTAAGAACTATTAGGATAAACGCGTATATAAACACACACAGTGTTTTGCGATTCATTGATGTAAGGCATGACAAACTTACCGGTCTTTCGTGGAGTGTTTTGAACGAACCATCATTCACTTTATCAATGTATAAATTGGGTATCGAGGACTAAACTGTGCTCTCCTGGCCCAGTGCACCACCTGTTGTTATAAAACTTCTTAGATTACGACAATACGACTCTAATGTCTTACGAAAAAAATATATTCTTTTGACCTGTTATTGATGGCTGTAATTCTGATCTGAAAAAGAGACATCCTTTAACCTGTTGAAGCTTTGAAAGGAATTCAAACTATAACCACAGAATTATGAGTACAGTAGATGAAGTCTACTTTTATTCTGTGCTGTAACATACGGGGTGTCCCACGAAGGGGTTTAAACGTTTGATTTTATATTACGTGCCCATTCATGCATCGAACTTTTTTAAACTTTACACAGTTTAAGAAGTAGGATATAAAAATATTCTGGAAAAAATTCAACTCCCTAACCTTAGTAGAAACAAAATGGCGGCATATTGAAAAACGATGCTTTAAAAACATTAAAGAAGGTATTTTTGGTTTTATAAAATATTTTTATTATTACTTTCCAGGGCAAAATGACTTAAATGAAAAAAAACTAGAACATAGTCTAATGGAAAACCTTAATGTCCAAAATTATTCAAACTGTAACCCATCCACAGCAACACACTGATAACGGTGCGTAACAATTTATTCGTAAGCTCTTACAAAGAAACCCTGCGGTATCCGGAGAAGTTCCTCTTCTATTGATCGTTTTAGTTCCTCATCATTATTGAAGCTATGGGTATAAACTTGTTCCTTCAAGAAACCCCATAAAAAGCTGTCGCAAACAGTTAAATCAGGTGATTGGGGTGGCCAATCTAAAAAATAATTTCCACGACCAATCCAACGGCCATGAAGGTTGCCATTTAGTAATTGCTTGACAGGATTTGCGAAATGAGGTGGTGCACCATATTGTTGAAAGATTGCTTGATGCATTTCTGGTACCGTGGAACCTGTTCATTTAAAACTCATTTTACAATCAAACAGCTGTTCTTCAACAATGACCGTTAGAACCGCAACGTAGTAAACAAATCAGATAATAAATCATGAAAGTAGTTTTTATAGAAAGCAAATTGGTACATTTTTCAATATGCCGCCATTTTGTTTCTACTAAGGTTAGGGAGTTGAAATTTTTCCAGAATATTTTTAGAACCTACTTTATAAACTGTGTAAAGTTTAAAAAAGTTTGGTGCATGAATGGTCACGTAATATAAAATCAAACGTTTAAACCCCTTCGTGGGACACCCTATATATCTCTGCTGATTTCCATGGCAGCGATTTATAAAAAGTTAAGTACTAATTTACAGCAATTAAATATACATGGTGGCTCTTAAGTAATCAGCCAAACTCTGGTAAATAGGTTCTATTGCTCAACATAAAGAGAAAATGTGCATGATTTTGTAAAACAATCGTTTCGTAAATATCATTTAAAATTTCAAAAAGATCGAATGAAAAATAGCTGAATTATTACGAATTTTAGTTGTAAAATGTGGCAAAATCAGTTGCAACCTGATTAGATTAGCCTCATTCTACTTCATTTTACAATTATAAATTGTGTATATCAACTGTTTTTATTCGATTTGTGATACTTGTGTCTTTTGATGAGAAACTTTAAGTAAAACTTTTTTGTAATAAACATTTTAACATTTTTTTCTCTATAAAATCAAACTTATTTTTAGTAATTAAAATTATAAAACTTAAAATAACCACTATTGTCTATTCTAATACCAAGTTCCATAAAGATCAGTCGGAACCATTCAAAGATAAAAAAGTTTAAGTAAAATATACAAAATGGTGGACATATGGTTAACGAAGCGATTTAAAAATCACGATTGATTTTACCTTTATTTTGATCCATAGAACCCTTTTCCGGAGTTTGGGTGTTATCTTAAGGGACACCCTGTATACAGAATGTCCCGTAAGTATGTACAACAACTTAAGAAAGAGGTTTTAATGAGTCAAAATCAAACAAAAACCAAGAATAAGATCTTTTACGAAAATGCCTTGTTAGCGAGATAATCGCCATTTTGTTTCATTATTTAAAATTGATCAAAAATGAGCTATTTGTTATTTTTCTCTGAAATGAAACTTAAAATACTGAATAGAATGAAAGTGTTCTTGTCGTATTTTTTTTTATTGTTCTAGTCTATACTTAACGTAAACAATTCACTAAAACCACTCTTAAATACCTTCCCTGTAGCAAAACCTATGTACAGTACTAGTTAAACCTAAAGTCGTTAAAAAAAAAATAAATCTGACATGTTCAAGGAAATATGTTAATGAAAATTTAATTGGGCAAATAAAAATTCCCTTAGTCTGTAGGTTTGCTGCGTAAGGGGTATTTATTTTCCTGCGGAGTGATTTTTTAGTTTCATTCTTTGTAATGAATCTATTGTTTTGCTACAATACCCATTAATCATCGCATTTTTTATTACCATAAGTGAATATTAGTTTATAGTTATTACCCATTGTAGCAACCCTGGTTACTCAAGTATAATGCTGCAATCCTTAAAATTGATTAAACTAAGAATATCTTTTTTATAGACTGTGTTTGGATTGAATTGGACAAGTACGAGGGTTTGCTGTGACGCATTTCTCGTCACTATGACTCGTGTGATTACTGAATCTAAGAGCAAGTGATGTAAACTGTCTTTGTTATTACATCATTGATGCTTAATACAAACGTATCGAGTAATTTCAAACACAACTACGATTAATTTAAGGTTGTTTCATGTGCCACTTTAAACCAGGAACATGTATCGGCTCTTTAACTTGCCTACGAGTTGATTATAAGCCTACCAAGTTGATAAATTAAATGCCAAAATGTTAAAGGTGCAGAGAATAAAGTATTCTGTCATTATTAAATAAGTAAACCAAGCAACCTAGTGCATTACAAAATATCTTGTATTGACAAATTACATGATTATTTATTCAGATTTACTATAATTTTTTATCACACCAAAAACTATAATTCATTGATGAGAAAAATGGCAGTCTGGCGTACAAGTAGATTTATTCATACTATACACTGGCCGCAAAATCCTACATATGAACTTAACATATGTAGGATGAACTTAACAAACCTAATTTAAATCTGCAATGAATAATAATTGAACAGGGGCAAAATATTTGAAATTTGAATTACCTGTTCTATCATTGGTTTTGGTAGGTGATAAGAAAATCAGTATCAATATTTCAGCTTTTGATTAGACGTTTACAGACTTAAAGAAAGAGGTACCTACGTTCCTAGTACTCGTATGTCATAATAAAAGAAGAAGTTGGTTGTGTTTGTAGGTAAATATGTAGGTTGTTGATACATTGTCGAATCATCCTCTGAAACTATGGGAAATTATAATTATAATAAATTATTTCTCTCGTCATGGCATGGTGTTGTCTGTAGGTAACCTGCTGTACAGCCGGTGCTACACTCACCATTTGTCATCCTCATCCATGATGTTGTTGATAATGATGTTGTCGTGGTGGTTGCAGGTTTGGATGGCTGTTGCTGTACAGCTTGTTATAGACTCACCATTTGTCATGATGTTGTTGATAATGACGTTGTCGTGTGGGTTGCAGGTTTGGATGGCTGTTGCTGTACAGCTTGTTATAGACTCACCATTTGTCATGATGTTGTAGATAATGACGTTGTCGTGGTGGTTGCAGGTTTGGATGGCTGTTGCTGTACAGCTTGTTATAGACTCACCATTTGTCATGATGTTGTTGATAATGACGTTGTCGTGGTGGTTGCAGGTTTGGATGGCTGTTGCTGTACAGCTTGTTATAGACTCACCATTTGTCATGATGTTGTAGATAATAATGTTGTCGTGGTGGTTGCAGGTTTGGATGGCTGTTGCTGTACAGCCGGTGATACACTCACCATTTGTCATGATGTTGTTGATAATGACGTTGTCGTGGTGGTTGCAGGTTTGGATGGCTGTTGCTGTACAGCTTGTTATAGACTCACCATTTGTCATGATGTTGTTGATAATGACGTTGTCGTGGTGGTTGCAGGTTTGGATGGCTGTTGCTGTACAGCTTGTTATAGACTCACCATTTGTCATGATGTTGTTGATAATGACGTTGTCGTGGTGGTTGCAGGTTTGGATGGCTGTTGCTGTACAGCTTGTTATAGACTCACCATTTGTCATGATGTTGTTGATAATGACGTTGTCGTGGTGGTTGCAGGTTTGGATGGCTGTTGCTGTACAGCTTGTTATAGACTCACCATTTGTCATGATGTTGTTGATAATGACGTTGTCGTGGTGGTTGCAGGTTTGGATGGCTGTTGCTGTACAGCTTGTTATAGACTCACCATTTGTCATGATGTTGTAGATAATGACGTTGTCGTGGTGGTTGCAGGTTTGGATGGCTGTTGCTGTACAGCTTGTTATAGACTCACCATTTGTCATGATGTTGTTGATAATGACGTTGTCGTGGTGGTTGCAGGTTTGGATGGCTGTTGCTGTACAGCTTGTTATAGACTCACCATTTGTCATGATGTTGTAGATAATAATGTTGTCGTGGTGGTTGCAGGTTTGGATGGCTGTTGCTGTACAGCCGGTGCTAGACTCACCAGTTGGGTCGAAGGTTTTTAACTACACATTTCTGGAGGCGAGCCTTTTCTCCAAAAACCGTTCATGGTTTCTATGGTAAGTTTTTTATTATACGCAAACCCCACATTGAAATGCCATATCACAGGAATTTGTCATACTGGCAGCCATAAAAAGTCTATACTCCATGATGTGAGATATCCAACTCTTGCTATGAATTGACCCTGAGCTTTATCAACAGTCATAGCTAAAGCTAAAATTGATAACGGAAAGTTGAGTTTTTTTTATATGATATGGCAGCACTTAATCTGATGGCTTCTAGCACATTAAATATTATACACTTTAATCTGTGCTTCCAGATACTATACTGTTGTTTAATTTTGAGCCATCTTTGTTCTGTGACGTTTGGATGTCTCAATCAACATTAAGACCACGAATAATTTAGTTTGGATTTCCATAAACAAAATCAATATCCGATCCTCTAGCTTCTATTTCAGTAGGTGTCTGTATAGTATAGGGCCCAAAACATATTCCATTATTTCTATGTCGGTAACGAAATCGGCGAATTCTAAATAAGAATTATTTGCTCTCACGTTTCTATTCAGTGTAAACTGTTTCACTAATTGTCAAAATGTCACGAATTGTAAGTTTTTGATACAGTTCTTAAATGAAATGACAATAATAAGGTACAACATGCAAGTTGTCTATAATCATCAAACACCAATACTGTGCAGGAATCGGCCCAAACATTAAACTTTCGTGGTCGCCTGTCATTGGTGTTTAGCGCATTTAGGCCTACTGAGGAACTAGGCACAGACAGACATACATTATCATAATCAGTTATTAATAATGAGCATTTTTAGTCGTTTTATCTCATAACTGTTCACTGGTATACAGAAGACTCATTCTCTGGGATGAGCTTACTTTATCACACTCAAACACTTCACAGTAAAAACATAAAATTAAAGTGATTTTCCCTTTTCAACTTGTAACCTCGAGTTATTCTGAAGTATTTTTCCAAACTCCATTTTTCCATACGACGTTCAAACTGTGCACTTGATAAAATTTACCGTATTAGTTACTACAAGAATAAATAAATCAGAAATTGGAAGTGAAATACATCAAATCTATATAATTAATAACGCTACACGAAACTTTGTCGGTTGAACTCCTCCGCCATTTCTTAACTGATTTTGTCCATTGACGTCTCATTGGAAAGAGCTGTCTCGTAGATTTGCAAACGGGCCAAACATTTTTGAAAAAGTCCCTTGGGCTCTGTCCCAGTGGCTTTGAAAGTTCCCATGTTATCCTTATGAAGAACATAATTGTTTACATTTTGATCAGCTGTATAATTTAATTGCTGTTATTTATTTTTCAATTCAATGAAACGCATTGAGTACATTTATTTACTATTTGAGTTTGTGTAAACATAACCCCAAAGACGGATCGTGTTAGTATGGTTGTATCTTAAATTTGTGTATTTATCGTTGTTTTGTGTCGCTATGACGGATCGTGTTAGCATGATTGTAACTTAAATTTGTGCATTTATCGTTGTTGTGTGTAGCTATAATTAGTTTATTTGTTGTTTTGGCAAATATCCCTATAGGGAAGTAGTTATTAACGTAGGTGGCATTGTAAGACCTGGGAAGTAGCTATTACCGTAGGTGGCACGGTAAGACCTGGACCCGGGACCGATTTACTTTTTCATTTTGATGTCCCCAGAGGCCAAAAACACCATTCGTTCAAATTTTTATATATGTATATATATATATATATATATATATATATATATATATATATATATATATATACGTCCGTGAACGCGATAACTTGAGTAATTTTTGTCCGATTTTGATGAAATTTGGTTTGAAGGTGTAAAGCGGGATAAACTTGAATGAGTTCGCGAACCAGCACGATCGGACCATGGGAACGGGGCTTTACGGGGGGTTTTATGGGGAAAAATTGGTTTTTCTCACTTTTGACCTTCAAAACACAAAATTTCCCGATTTCTCTTTAGACCTTTTTAAAGAGCTTAAAAAAACAAATAATTTAGTATATAAAAGTATTTTTGTTCGATTGTTAGTAACGGAGAAAATTAAAAAAATTGTAAATTTAAAATTCCCATGTTATTCTTATGGAGAATATTGTCAAATGTTGTAGTTTGCTTGTTTATGGATATATTTTGATCAAACTTGGCAAATTTATTTATTTTGTACTAAGCTATCAATATTTTACTCAAAAACACACTTTATTAGTTTCCTTGTAGCAGCAAACCTAGGTACTCGTTAAACCTAATGTTATTAAAATATATTTAACTGAAAATCAATTCAGACAAATGGAAATTCGCTTAGTCGGCAGGTTTGCTGCGGCGGGGGTATTTTTCTTTTAAATGCCTCCGATGCGACGAAAACGGAACGAGGCGTAATCGTGATAACGACCGCAGCTACAGAACAGTGGCGCGAGTCAGCACCTGACCCTGGACAATCTCAACTATTAGGTTACAAATGCTCCCTAACACTACCCCAAAACGACTTTTCGTTCTCAATTGGCCCTCTATCAATGACCTGTGTTGCCTATACAGCGAGGCATTTTGAGAAGGAGAAAACCGGCCAGAATGCTTTAGAATTTGTCAACAAGGAAGATAAACATGGTCTGAGTTACACACCGGTAATCTTTGAGGTGACTCTTTTTAACTCATTGTAAATATGACTGTTATTCATTTTGAAATAACTCCTGTAATACTTTGCAATTGCTCGAATTCGAGCAACATGTACACTAGTTAAAAATTAACAAATGATCACAGCTGATTCAAATATTGCTATTCCATAAGATTGAGATGGGAACTTTAAGGCCTACTTGGGCAAAGGTATTTAGGGGTTGCACAGCTTCAGAGTGAGCTCCACCAAAAATTTCAAAATCGGTTGGTTAAAAAAACCTCTTCCAAATTAATTTTATGGATTAACTAAAATCGTATCGCAATTAACTGAAAATATAATTTTGATAGTATCACAATATGTGAGGGACTCGTCAATGCTGATAAAGTAACAACTGTCAACTGCTAGTCCATACAGTGTGAATATCTACTATTTTAGTATCTAAAGTCAATCAATCTTTCAGAGGTATTCCGTAAAGCAGTTTCATTCAGTGGTGATCGCCGTGGACACCCAACGAACTCAAATTTGGCAACGATTTTAGAAAGAACGACTGTAGTGTTGGTGACAGGCTGGGCAGCGATGGCGGGCGACCTGCCCCCATTCCGCACAAGGACCTGTGAAATCAATTCTTTACGGTTTCCTCTGAAATAAGTCTTACGGTTGAAATTGAAGTAGACTGTTCAAGGCGAGAGCCATATCGGACAAGTGTCCACGGTAACTGGGTAACTAAACTTTGTTTCTTACGCTTTGTCTTATTTTTAGCTTATTTTCCCTAGGTAAGTATCTATTACCGTAGGTGACACGGTACGACCTACACCCAAGACTGATTTACTATTTCCTTTTATTGTACCCAGAGGCTGTTAACATTATTCGTCCAATTTTTATATACAGAAAATACATCAAAAATATAAAATGATATATGTTCGTGAACGCGAGTTACTGTATTTTGTTTGGTTTATATAAAATTTGGCTTGAAGGTGTAAGGCGGGATGAAATTCAATGAGTTCGCGAACCAGAAAGATCAGGTCGTGGAAACGCAGTGTTATAGGGGTTTGAAAATTTAATTTTTTTTTTTCAAATTGTTACAACCATGACCAGTACCCTTCAAACATGGAAAGGTCCAATTTTCATTACGATCATAGTGTTGAGAGTAGAGCTTCAAATAATAAATACTTTGTACATTGATGCGTTTTTGTACACTTAAAGGTTACGAAGAAAATAAATAAACTTTACATTTAAAATCCTCATGTTATTCTTATGTAGAAATATAAAACTGGTGTAGTTTTATTGTTTATGTATATATGATGATTATGTACCAAAACTCAAAATGATTTCCTAGACTTTGTTATTTCATAGCTTTGAGCGGAAAAAATAAGGTTTTATGGTTCTTTGAAGTTGTACAGTTTTAATAAAAAGTCTGGAGACCCCATATTCACTTTTTTATGGGTTACTCCAAGAAAACCAAACTTTGCACACCTCTACACAACATAAAAGTGAATTATTTTGTTGGTATCCCAATTTCGCCCGAAACCCCAAAATGGGATATTTTGTGGCCAGCTCAGAAATTTTTGAGGCATTACATATTTAACATTTTTGAGCTGCCCCAATATGCTTCATTTCGCGTTCCCAGGAGGAATCGTGATACCAACTAAAAATACACTGTTTTTCTTATGAAGTGATAAACCTGGTACAACCCGATAAAATGTTAGCAGGGTATGGTTGTATATTTTTAAGTGGGGTCTCTGAGGTTTATGAAAAATAAAAAAAAACTGCTGCCATTCTGTAATAGGTTGAGATAGAGACCTCAAGTTTTCACCAATATTCTTTTATACTAATGACCTTTAAAATGAGTTGTTACTTGATAGGACTTTATATTTAGAATGTTTGAACTGTCCACAAAATAGTCCATTTTTGGGTTTCGGACAAAATTTGGATATCAACGAAAAAGTATACTTTAATGTTATATAGGTGTGCAGAGTTTGGTTATCCTGGTGTGACCCATTAAAAGTTAATATGGGGTGTCCAGACTTTATATTATCCCTGTGTTACTATATCGTTGAATAAGTTACCTCGGGTAGCTTACCAAACTTATAACGAGATAGGATTTTCGGGCCATCAGGCGAGGTAAGGTGAAGCATGCCACAATTGCAATAGAAATCGTCCGATCCGAGTCCGTGATTCTTCTCACCCCCCCCCCCCCCCCTACAAACTCAAACTACACAGCAAATCAGTGGTTTGGTTGTACGCAGTGATGAAGGCGAGATGGAGGAAGAGGTTGGCGGTGTTATATTATGTTTATAGAAAATACCCCCGCAGCAGCAAACCTGCCGACTAAGCGAATTTCCATTTGTCTGAATTGATTTTCAATTAAACCTATTTAAATAACATTAGGTTTAACGAGTACCTAGGTATGCTGCTACAAGGAAACTAATAAAGTGTATTTTT